TTACATATTAAAAAATTAAAAATTTAAAAATATACAATATTACAGTCTTTTTTAAAACATAAAACAAACTTAACTTAAAAAACTTAAACATTAACTTAAAACAAAAACCTCAAAGACCCCAAAACTTTTAGCGGTAGTGCAACTATCTGCGCCGTTGAAAATCTCAGTGCTAAAAAGTCGCTGTACTGTACTAGTAGGCATAGACAATATGGTAATTTCTACACTGCATCCGATCGCTTTGTCACTGCATATCTCTGTCAGTGTGAACAGCCATTTATAATGTTTCATATGTTTTATAAACAGCTTCATAAAGAAGCACATCAGGTGAGACATATGCCTGTTTCTCACCTTAGCATCTGATTCATCCGACTGATAATGAAAAATGAACGACAAGATGAGTAATAGTGAAACAAAGAACAAAAAAGAAATAAAAGGTGCTAGGTAGTAGCAGAAGACTTTTTGTCGTTGATTTACACAAAATCTTGCAAAACACCCACACTAACACGCACACACATACGCATATGCATTCATGGCCTCACACATTTCTCAGTACCGCAGTGTTGAGTGTACAGACCTCATTGCCTTCATCATCAGTGATGGCCTGAGCAGAAGGAGACCAAAACAAACAGAATTTTGTGTTTGTGACTCCTAGTTTTTAACACATACACTCAAGACTACATTTGCATAGACAAACACACATCTTTGTCTAACTGGAAGATATTTAAATGATTTAGAAGTTTAGAAGAGCAAATTATCATTAAATGTGGCCAAGCACCAAAATAAAAATCATGAATGTTTTTTTTTTTAATAATAAAAAAGGATGGACCATAATTTTCTACATTTAAATTTTCTCAATTCACTTATGATTGGCAGGTAATTAGCAGTTCATTTTGGACCCTATCCATAGACACTCTCAACACACCTCCTCCTCATCGTCCTCAGGCTCCTCCTCATTCTCCAGCTGGGAGTGAAAATAGAGATCAACATTAAGAGTGATTTAGGGATTTGATACTAAGAGAACAACACTATGGATGGCTGAAATCATATGGGTGGCATAAGGTGGTGCAAAAAGGGCACTGCAACCTAGTGAAAGTGTCTAAATACAACATCTACTAAGGCACACAAATCACACCGAGGGTTAGGGATGGTTCATCCTACAAATACATCGCTTCACCTACCAGCTCTTCCTCAACAATATACTACACATACACAAAAATATGCATATGGTTAGCTCAGCAATCATAAACATTCACTACGCACACACACATATCTGCACCCATGAAAGATAATAAACATTCACACTCATGACAGATAACAAACATTCAGTTCATTGGTATATCATGCGCAAAATGCCAGCAGGCCCATCGTCATCAAACCAAAACCATAGACTTCAGTTTCTCCAGTTACACAGACTCAAACTACTCAATACTCTAAGCAGCATAAAAAAATTGCACACAAATTCAGGGTAAATTGGTGCATTCTGAGGTTATATGTGATGCTGTTTTAGATTTTTGGCAAAATGAAGTACACCACCATTCAAAAGTTTACGGTCTGAAAGATTTTTTATTTTTACTTTAATTTTACTTTAACGGAGTAAAGTCTGCTGAAAAATCAGCTTTGAGAATAATTATTTGAGACTAACTTATATTTTAAAATATATTAAAACAGAAAACAGTTATTGTAAATCTTAATGATTTATTTAGTAATATTACAGTTTTTACTGTATTTTTGATCAAATAATTGCAGTCTTGGTCAGCATTAGAGACTTTCAAAAATGTATGAAAATTCTTGACAAACCCACAATTTTGAACGATAGTGGACCTTATAAGGCACCACATTTTTGTTGCACAAACAAAAAAAGTACCATGGTAAGCATAGTTTCCTGGACATTTGAAGTGGCTTCGTCCCTGTTATATGTCAATTCACCATAGTACCACCACAAAACATTTTTGTAATAGTGTTGCATCTGTAGCAAGTCTACGAAAAAGGCCTTAAAAACCCGTTATAACTTCATGCTTCACTCACCTGTTTGGCCCCCATAGATTCAAACATCTTCTCCAACAACACACGCATCTGTTGAACGTTGTTCATCAACACACAGGGCTGCAGGAGAGGCAGGAAAGAGCGAACAGCACAAAGACAGACAGTGAGACAACTCAGACCTACTTGGATTCTTACTGTACAATAGCAGACAACAAATAAGTTCAAAAATGTTAGTGTTTGAGTGTTTGTTAACACTCACTGTCTTTTCTTTCTCGCAGTACGAGGAGAAACCCTTGGTTAGAATAGCACAATACTGCAGGAGCACTTTGGTGATAGTCTGGTAAGGGGGAAAAAGGAAAAGAAAGAACACTATTACACCTAAACGGTATGCAGAGTAAATGAACTACACCTTGTACAGAGCTGGTAATCTGAAACGACAGATTTTCTGGAATTGACTTTGTTGTTGAAAACTAATGAATTTTCATGGGAAGATGCATTAAGTGCTGTTTTGTTCCCTGAAATAGACCTCAATATGCTGATTACCATTAAAAAATAATATCAGAATATACCCCTATTATGGACATGTCAGATAATTGCATTTAGTATTTAGTCACAGTCTTCACTAAAATATAATAAAATGTTAACGCATCTCAGCTCCTACAAAACCTGTGTAGGCGTCAACAAAGATGTCTCTGCGTCAGGCGTCTAAGTTAAATATGACTCACAGGCTAAGAAACAGATGGTGATGGTCTAAAGACAAACAATCTGTGTGCCAGCAGCTTATATTTCTCTTGCCACCATTTTCCATCTATTATGTCTCTGCTTGTCTATCTTCCAGCTTCTCTGGAACCATCTTTTGAATGTAGTATATAGTATGGTTTAGGTCTGTTGATCTTCACCTTGGCAAATCGTCGGTTGTACTGGGCAGCCACTGCAGGATCAGGAAAGTCTAATTTCTTGATGATCTCAAAGCTTTGGTTGAGCTGAGTGAAGATGTCCACGACTGAACAGGAAAACAGGGCATGCTCAGATGTTTGCTGGAACTGTGGAAAAGACAGGAGAGCTTTTTAGTCTGAGATGTTTCTTCAGCTATGGGAACTTTTTGCCTTGTGTGTTTTGTTTGTTTGTATGTTTTTATTTCATTTGTCTACTTACAAGGTCTAAATGTCATGAGAATTATATGCATTTTACTACAACATTTTATGAATCTTAAAAATACAGAAATAAAACATTTTCACAGCTTTCTGCATAACTTGACAAAATTAGAAATTATGCTAAAATATTGTTCAAAAGTGATATATGACTTGATTGTTTATGTTTTCTTCACAAATCACATTTCATATTTCATCTTAGTCATGCTCTTGCTTTAAAAGTTTTCTCATTAGTAAATAAGCACTATAATTTTCAGGGGGAAAAATTGTGGCAAAATGGTTTGTGTGGTGGAAACTAATAAAAATAGATATTTTAACAAAATACACATTAAAATGATTAATTTCACGATCTGTTGGTTCTTTTGAACTTGAAAAAATGCCTCATGGTTTCCATAAAAAATACTAAAAAGAAAAAGTTATTTTAAATTGTGATAATATTTCACAATATATGTATTTTCACCATATATTTGATCAAATAAATGCATCCTTTGAGAGCATTAGAGACTTTTTACCAACCCCCAAATTTTGAAAAATATATTGTATTTTATACAATATATTGTAATTTTTATCCATCAAAGACATTAGAAAAGTAGCATAAATAAATGATGAAGGCATTGTAGAAAGCATTTCTCAAAACCATTTAAATTTGGCCTTTACATAACTAAAAGAAAACGTCAGTTCATTTTAAGAAAAACCATCCACCTAACAGGTAGTAGACAGCAAGCAGCAATTTTATTTGACAAGGAATGTTTTAAAGCCTGGTAGACCAAGAGTAGAAAGCCATATATAAGAGAGCAGACCACACAGAAAGGTTATACAGCAGTTTCTGAACCATACCCCCTCTCTTTTATCCCTCTCAAGGGCTCCATGCATAAACTCCATCGACACTTCTTCATTCTCACCCAGCCACTGGAGAACAAATGGCAGAAACCACCTACAGATGGGAAATGAAAAAGAAATATAGAGAAACAGGAGGAGGAATAAAGCAGGAGGGCAGCGAAGCAGCAAGTGGTCAAGAACATTTAAACAACAGAGGAAAGCATCAACGAGGCATCCTAATCGATTTGGGACTGTAGGTGATGACAGTGAGAACATAAAACTACTCAAAAGAAGAACAAACTGCAGCTTTTGGGAAGAAAAGAGAGAAAAGTTTAGCCAAAGATGCTCTGAAAGAGTTTTAGAAGCAGTGTGACTCACGATGGGTACTCTGGGACGGTGTCGGAGAAGGCGGGCAGGTCACAGACGTATTCGTTGTAGAGCCATTTGACTTTGAAATGCAGATTCATGTAGTCCGCACTTTTACAAAACCTCAGCTTCTCATGCTCTGTGGAAACAACAACCATGAGTAAACAGATTTAATTTCGTTTTACCTTGTCACGAATTTCACCCAGTAAACATTTACTCTCCTTCGGCTTCAACATATGTATTCTCCAACGAGCTATAAACTAAGAATGAACTGCTTTTTCATCTGAAAGTCTTCAAGCTGTACTCACTCATGGAGGCTAACGCTAAAGGTCTCTGCACACTGAGTCCGAATTTTTCGTCCGAAATTTTCGCACGTTGAAAAATAAATACGACCTCACGTTGTGTCAATCACGTTTACACACTGCCTCCGAAACTTTCGTCCGTCATAAAAAAATTCGGACCAGGTTCGATTTATGCGTTTTCGCATCCGTAGCAAGCATTTTGATAGGAAAGGATGACGAATACGAAAAAAACGGAAAAACGCATATGAAAATTTCGGACTCAGTGTGCAAGGACCTTAAGAAATGCATTTCACACACATATACTACCATTCAAAAGTTTGAAGACAGTGTGATTTTTAAAAAAAAATATAAATGAATACTCAGCAAGGATGCATTAAATTGTTCAAAAGTGACAGTAACGACTTCAAATAAAATAGAAAATAAAAACAAAATCTATTTTTAAATAAATGCCTGTTCTTTTGAATTTTATATTCAGAATTACATTCAGAATGTAAATATGTATCATGGTTTCCACAAAAATATTAAGCAGCACAACTGTTTTAACATTGATAATAATAATAAAAAAAGAAATGTTGCTAAAAATTTATCATAAAAAAGAAAAAAAATGGCTGCTAAAATTCAGCTTTAACATAACAGAAATACATTTTCAAATATACCAAAATAGAAAAGTTATTTTAAATTGTAATAATACATTTTTATTTTACATTTTATTTTTGATCAATTAAATGCAGCCTTGGTGAGACTTTCTTCTAAAACATCCAAAAATCTTACCAACCCGCAAACAATATTGTATTTTGAACAATAGTGTACATGTGCACACATCGACTCTTACAGACACTTAACCATATGTCTTACCAGCATAAAAATCAAGTCTGCGAATATGGAATGTGGCAGGTGCTAAAATCAAGGAAACAAGGCAGGACAGAATGGAGAAATGAAGAACACTTGTGAAAGAATGGAAAAAAAGTGCAGGTGTGCAATGAAAGGGGTGGTTTCAAAAGAAAAGCATGCTGGCATCAAAAGAAAAAGATCACTTTTTTTTAATGAGGAGTCTATCTCTAGTTTACTCCTACTTGGAAGATCTAAAATGAAAACCAGGGAGTTCTATTCTCTAACTCTGCTGTAGCAATGAGAGAGTGAGGACTCGAGACTAAAAAGAGGGCTTTGAACCTTTAAAGGGGTTTTAACACAGCAAAGAGGATTTCCTTTGTTCTTTTGAAATGAAAACTACGAGCACATTAACAAAACACCAGCCATATTTATTATTCAGTACTCAGCAACTTGGCCCACACAATCATGGTGATGTAATGAGGAGGAAGTAGGGCAGATATTGTACTTAATCATCCTAACTGTACTAACATTCCACTTGGTATCAAAGCTATAGAAGCTGTTATTAAAGGATGTACAGTAGATTATGGCTCCTTTGAGGGAACACATTACTTGGCGTACAACAGAGTGGTGTAATTATCTTGCATCTATAACAAGAAATGTATGCCCAAGTTCACACTCTCATGACTCCAAAAGGCCTTATAGCATTATGGCCTTTACCATTCTTCCAATGTTTGTAGACGATATGATTAAGAACTGAAGACAGAGACAGATAAAATGGCAAGATGGAATGATGTTAGGAGCAATCTCAAATAAATTTGCAGTGAACACAGACATACTTTAAGGACACACAAGCTTCCCATACATATAAATGTATATTTCTTCATACCTTCCAGTGCATACTTTATGTCCTGAGCAAAGAGTGTCCACATGACCTCGGCACTGACCTTCCCCACATTCAGCTCCTGAGGAAACCTGCACGGGACACACCAGGTTAAACAGCTCAGCTCAATGTCTTTGTGTGTAATATTGTGTGTGCATCTGTGCAGTGACTGACTGATTGATGATTGAGCTGTAGGAGTTCCTGTCCTCCTCTATGATGGAAACTATTAAGGTGATGAGTTTGGGCCAGAAGTCCAAATTCTGTATGCTTGGTCCTGGTTCCTCTACAGCAGCATGTTCCTCCTCTTTCTCATCCTTTTTGTCTTCCTCTTCTTCACCCTCTTCTCCCTCTTTCTTTTCTTGTGGTTTCTGTGGTATAGAACAATTGCATGAAATGGCAGAACACCATTAGAATGATAGAACAAAAGAAAAATAGATAGATGGATAGATAGATAAAGATAAACAGGTAGATAGAACAACAGATGAAACAACAAAGAACAACAGATATAATGACAGAATGACAGATATGATATAGAAAGAGACAGATATAGAAAGACAGACTGACAGATAAAATAACAGATGGCAAACAGAATGACAAAACGACAGACAGAATGACAGACAGATATAGAAAGACAGATAAAATCACATTAAATGACATAAAACGACAAAACTATAAGACAGAATGACATACAGAGATAAACAGAGTGACAGATAAAATGACAGAACGAAAGACAGAAACAGAGACAGATATAGAAAAGCAGATATAGAAACAGATAGATATAGAAACAGATATATAAAATGACAAAATAACAAACAAAACAAAAGGAGGAACAACAAAATCTCAGACAAAATGACAGACAGAGCAACAGAGGAAATGACAAAAGAACAAATAGATATAGAAAAAACAGATAGATATAGAAAGAAATAGATAGAACAGATAAAACAAACTAAATGACAAAATGATATAGATAGATAGATAGATAGATAGATAGTAAAAGTCTATCGAAGAAACTCAGAATTATAATGATGATTCATGGGCCTGACCTTTATGAACAAACGTGGTCTCTATGGTAACTGATCAATTCTATAAAATATTACTCATTTTAGGCTGATGTCCCAGGTTGAAATGCTGGTATTACCCATGAGAAATTCAACCTCTAATGATGACATAATCTAAGCAGAGATATCCAAACATGGTGTAAGTATTCCCCATCTGTGTGTATACAAACATACACCTATGCAGGACGTGAATGTGTTTACTCACAGGCTCCACGGCCGGCTGGAACTGTCTGTTGTACAGCTCTTGGCAGTTGTTAAAGATGTATTCATATGTGGAGTTGAGGCATGCTTTCACACAGTCCCTGACCACATGGGCGGCACGAGGGGGAGACTGCAGTTCCAGAACCTGGACACAGGGGGCGCCAGAGAAGACAAGAATATGACTAGGGGTGTAACGATTCATCGATATGGATCGATACATCGATACGATGTCTGACGATACGATGCGTCGATGGCACGCGTAAAATATCGATATCTGTAGTATAAATAGGCACCTTTATTTTGGCACTGTCCACATTTTCACATAATGTCCGTCTAAGCATTACCGACAACGCGTGCATTCTCGTTCAAACTCACGTGTCAGGACTCGCTATAAGGACTGCCCGAAGGCACAAGGTGAGCATAAAAGACCCTCGGGATTGTTTGCGGAACAGTCGAGCACTGTGTGAGAAGTTTTCTGCGCGCACATCTGAAGCGCACGCGCACAGACAGCCGCGTCTACACCGCGCGAATACTAAATTGAGCTCTTTTCCGCTTTTTTGTGCATGGATGAATAAATACAGACAAAATTACTTCAAAATGCGCGTTTTGGAGAATATCCTAGTAAACACAGTCGGTTAGCCATATGTCTTAACGTAAACAGTTGAGAAAGAAAAGGCATGTGTATCAGTAGCCTATATTAAATCCGTGCTTCGTTCTTAAAGTGAAAGCAAACTAATAATAAATCAGCCAGAATTGTTTTTGCAATTGTTTATTTTCTTTATTATTAAAAAAAAAAAAGTGTAGGCCTATTTTTTTGTTGTGAATGTCCCAATTGAGGTACAGGATGTGAAAATTTCAGATAAATGTTCTACGAACCATCCGATTTACACCCATAAATATGACTATATAAAAACAAAGTAACACCCTCTAACAAATCAATAGTGACTAATCTCAGTTATGAAAGCCCGCACAAAAGCCTCTCTCTTACAGCACAAAGAACTCAATCTTCATCTCAAACCATCTATTATCCTTTTCTACTGTATGAACTCAGGCAGACAGAAATAACGGAGCGTTTACTCAAGACTGTATGAAACACAATTGAATTACTCATCTCTATAGGATCTGTCACTCAATATATGTATTACAAATAAGACCCACATCCCTGCATCTCCCAAACACAGTATAAAACAGCAAGAAGGGCACTACAGCATGCCATTGCTTGATCTGATTTAGAGGTACATTATCTTACCTTCAGTCTGAAGAATGTAATGCTAGTCAGCAAATCCACTGTGGATTTGAGATCTGCTAGACGTGGTTTACTGCTGGCTGGGAAATTATTCTGGAGATCAAAGGGACAGAATTAAGATCACAGGAAGCTTGAGTGAGAAGCACAATGTGACGTTGGTAAAATGGATACTTCAGGAGAAATAACGAACATGAACAACATATTATTTATATATGCACATGCACAAAGTTTACTGATCAAGTCTATATATCATTATAAAATGTATTCATGCTAGCCACTCTCAAAACCAACTGAAAAACATATATATAGACCTGACTGTGATCACCTGCATCTCAGACTGCACATTGTTCTGAAATGTATATTTTTATAATGAATATATATATACTGTATATATATATATATATATATATATGTATATATATATAAAATAAAAACATTTTGGCTTGACATTCCATGATTCTAAGGGCACAATGATTTTTTTTTTTGTGTGGATGATTTTGTCCTAAATGTTATGTTTAATTTTGAAAAATTTAAAGTTCATACTGATTAGCGAATCATGATTTGTGCATGAAACATTCACATTTTACAAAAAGGTATGATTTTTATTCAAACCATCTGATTTTTCAACTTGGTTACATAACAGTCACATTAAAACTTATTTTATTATGCCTCCAAAAAATTTTTCGGAGGTTCGCCTGAACACTCCCTTTATAGTAGGGCTTAGGGGTGTAACGATTCACTCGTTTTCTCGATGCATCGATTACAAACCCTGACGATGCAATGCATCGATCTTGAAACATGGATTTTTGAATCGTGAATCGCCGATTTCGGACAGTAATCGATTTAAAAAAACTATGAATCTTGCGCTCAAAGAACTTAAGACGTGCCAGGCTATATCTGCAGCTAAGCTGAATAAAAAGCAGAATGAACTGAAATGTTAAGACAATAAACACAATTAATAAATAAAATGTATGAATGATGCAGTGCTAATTGACTAATTGCTATCATTTATTACAGTACAGAAACTATAAAGTATATTTTCTACCTTATTCTGTGCAGAAAATTTTAATAATTGTTTGTAGTATATAAAACAATCATAAAATTGCCATTAGGAAAAAATTATAGATTACAAATGATTGATTATTGTCCAGCAGTGTATTTGATTTCTTATAGCAAATT